GAAGTGTTGAGATATTCCACTGAATACTAAAGTTAAGGTTGTCCATGCCATTGTATTTCCAATTTCTATGTACAATTGTGAAAGCTGGACAGTGAAGCAAGCCTGAACTCTCCTTAGAGGCCCAGATGACTAAACTGAGAGTAGAATTCAAAGACAGGAATCTACAGGACCTGAGCAGGGCTGTGACAGGGTGACGGTAGTATCACATTATAGCTTGCTACATGTTGGTCGATTTGATGGCAGTTAGCAACTAGATAGTTCCAACTGCAGTTGTTTCTATAGACATGTGTTTTGCTTTCTTGCAATCCCTTGTTGCATTTGATCTCTTCCCATATTGGTGACAGTCCTGGTCCTGGTTCTGGTCCTAGTGTAAAATTCTGACTACCTTCATTCCCCCAACCACACTTCTGTGACATGCTCTGATGATGTCTTGTTGGTTATGAGGGACACCTGCATACACATCTCTTTACACCAAGAAAGGAGAAGTGGTGTGTTTGAAGGAGAATTTGATATGGCTTAACTCCACTTGGTGGTAAAATTTGTGTGTGCATACACAAGATCCTGCTCAGTTTTCCCCTTTCTGTGCCTATCTTCCCAGTGAGAGAAGGGAGCAGAAGGAAAAACTTCTGTGTGCAGTTATAGAAGGGGGCTTTTCCCCAGGGCAATGATGAATGCATACTGACAGAATTTTTTCTTTGCTCTTTCTCTGTTGTCTGCAGGAGGCAGTTAGTCCTAGATCTCCAGAGAGGACAAGGAAGGCTGCCTAACTTGCAAACAAGTTGGGGTGCATGCACCCATTTCCTCCTTTTTCCCCTGAAGGATGAGAAGTGATGAGCAAACAGAAACAAATGTGCTTTTCCTTCCCTTCTTACTGGGCAAAGTGTACCCTTTGTGACTTAGAAGTCAAATTTCAAGTGAAGCAAGCAAGAGGTACATCTCTTCCCCACAGAGAGGTATGGAAAGGGGAGGAAATCATTCTAAATAAGGACTGCAGCAGCATGACAAGACATTGTACATCTTGGATATCAAAATGATTTTGGGGGGAAAGTAGTGGGCAAAATTAATAATGGCACACCCACAGGGTCATTATGCAGGATTATTCATGTTCCCAACCATTCTCATATTGAGGCAATTCATACAACTGGTAGATCATGTGAATGATTAACAGGCACATGTGGCACAAACAAAGGGAACCTTTCTGAGAAGTCATGTGAAAAGTTAGATTGATTTCTTATGAAACAGGTAGTATTCTCCCTCTCTCCTAATACTATAGCATTTGCAAGTATGGGAAGTACCTCTGTATGGATTCACCCTAAGACAATGTTCTCTGAACTAGTTCATCTTGATTTTTCTAAACAGGGAGAGAAAACCAGAATTTCTATGATATATATATATATATATGTATATATATATATATATATAATTATTTTTAAAGGAAGAATGTAAATGAGAAAATAAGTTAACATATTGAAATCAATAACTCTACATAAATTAGGTATGCTATCTCCTTAATGTCTTCTGCCATCTTGTGTGTACAAATATGAATTGCAGTTCTCTGGACAA